ACTAATGCTTCATCTTCTGCTGCTGCATTCTTCGTCTCTTGTTTGTTCTTCTTCCTCAACTCGTAGCTATACAGAGCAGAACTGACCACTGCAAGAGTTACATCGTCCTTCTCATGGAGCAGAGTAGTCTCTAGGTGCTCGAAGTCATCTGGAAGTGATGATAACAACATAAGAGCCAAATCTTCATCGCTGAATGTGACGTCCAAGTTCAACAAATCTGCAACCAATTGATTGAATGCAGTGACGTGGTCATGCATCGATGTGCCATGTCGGTGCTCGAATCGGAACAATCGCTTCTTCATGAGGAGCTTATTCTGGCCGCTTTTCTTCAGAAATTTATCCTCCAAAGCCTTCCACAAAGTGTGAGCAGAGTTCTCATTCTTGAACGTGTACTTCTGCTCCCTCGACAAACACGAACGAATTGTTCCACATGCTAAGCGGTTGATATTCTTCCAGTCCTTCTCTTCAACGTCTGTTGGCTTCTCCTTTTCAATCGCAATGTCGACGCCTTGCTAAAATAAACAATCTAGCACCTCGCCTTGCCACATGCCGAAATGACCGGTCCCGTCGAAAATCTCCACCGGGAGTCTGACGTTCGGCATCACCGTCCTTGCCGGAATGAATGCAGAGGATGATGCGCCCTTGACCTCCTTGGACATCTCGGACTCGAATGCAGTGCTCGCCTCTCCAAATGAGCATGGAACGAACCTTCGGCTCTTATACCACTTGTTGGGGTATCCCAACAAGCGCAGCGGACAAAAATACCCCTCCAACAAATATGGCGAACACTACTCCAAAATAAGCCAACACAAATAAAAGAAGAGAAATAAAAAGAACACAAAAATTGATAACGGAGTTCGGCGAAAATATCCTACGTCTCCGGGCACCGCCAACCGCAACGCCAAATTTACTAAACTCACCAACAAAATACAACTAGGGTTAAATAACCCACAAAATAGGATTTCCTTAATTAAGGATTTCCTTCTAAATAGGAGAGAATAAAATAAGGTGCAATTGTAACCCAAAGGCAAGGGACCTATTTATACTAAAAAGATCCTACACATCTTTGGTACACATCCGATGTGGGACAAAACTTAATAAAAAAAACTAACAGTTATTGCCTCTGTCGACAACCAAGGGGTCGTGCAGATGATCAATGGGCTGCATGATGGCTTGGGGATGCATGGAAGTTTAATTAGAGGGATACGGGAACTGATGGCCCGGGAATGGAGGGTACAACTGTTGCATGATTGGCGCGAGTCGAATTTCGCAACTGATTATCTGGCTTCTTTAGCTTCAACCAGCCCCAGTGGTCTTCAATATTTGGATGCTCCTTCATTGGGAGTGAAACCGTGGCTAGAACACGATCTTATCGGTATATCCTACTCACGTAATGTGATCGTTTCACATCCTTAGGCTTATTGCCTCCTTTTATGTACCCACAAAAAAAATAAAAAAAAACCCGTGCTCCACGAGCTTCTCTCCAATTTCACAGTCCCATTTAACGCCTTTAATTTACACCCTCCAAGCCACCGTCCCAAGCCACACGCGCCTCCGCACGCGCTCACACACAACTTCCGTCACCTCTATGGCCATGGCCAATTCCCTCGGCTACGCCAGCCCTTTTCAGGTCAGAACCTCATCGGAGCATCCCTCCTTACAGCGGCCCGGAGCGTGCTTCACGCGCCACTCGCTTCCCTCTCTGGGATTCACGCAGTCAGCGAGGCCCTGTTCCTCAACGCCGCTGGTTTTGGCGGCCGCCTCCGCCGGTACAGTTGAAGCCGAGCCGAAGCCGAGAGCAGCTGCTGCCCCCGCGAAGGCTCTGCCATTCCGCGTGGGCCATGGGTTTGACCTCCACCGGCTCGAGCCGGGCTACCCTCTCATCATCGGCGGCATCAGTATTCCTCACGATCGGGGCTGCGAGGCCCACTCAGACGGTAATTAATTCATATTTTTGTAAACTATAATACTTGTGAGTTGTGAAAAATGTTAAGGGACTGGAAAAAAGATCGATTCTTTTTACTTAGGTATTGAACAGTGAACAGTGTAGCTTGAGAGATGAAAAAATCCACCATGTTGATGATAATTGATCTTGTCCTGATATATTTGATGATTATTACTTGTGATGGGCAACTGAAAAAAATCGAAAACCAATTTAGCAGTGAATGCTTCATAATTTATCATGGGAAAGATAAACTAATCCTTTTCCAATCCCCTCCAACAAAACACCCCTCAAAGTCCAGATTTTTACGAGCCGAATGTTATCTTGTTTATAGGCGATGTGTTGCTACATTGCGTGGTTGATGCAATATTGGGGGCGCTCGGGCTTCCGGATATCGGGCAGATATTCCCAGACACGGATCCTAAATGGAAAGGCGCACCATCTTCGGTTTTCATGAAGGAGGCCGTGAGTTTAAACTAGCATTTCGTGTCATGTTACATATGGTTCTTGAATGCATTTAGTCGTGTGAAAGTTGCAGATTTTCTTGTAGGGATTTGTTTATTTGTCATTCATTTTTTACGGTTGTGCCTGGAGGATTGCGATTAGTTAGTGGTGATTAAAGAATTAGCAACATTGGCTGGATTAGCAAATATCTAACTTTTTTCGTTTCAGCTAAGTACATAGTTGGTTTGTGTCTAGTAAGTCCATGTACAAATTGGGTATGTCTATAATAGCGATTATATGTTTCGATTTTCTGTTATTTTCAAGAGTGTACTCATGTGTAAGAATAAGAGAGTCAGAATGACACGTATATGGACCTAGCAGAATTGGATTGGCGAACTTGTTGCTGAATTTATCATAATCTTTGCGTGGTTTATACTTACAAATGACCTTAAGAAATTTAACCGTAGATTTGCCACTTTTAGCAGATCACCAAGCACACATTTTGTCAGAGAAAGATTTATGGGAAATTGGTTTGTGTTTCTAAAGAAAATTGCTAATTGTTGTTAACATGTCACATAGAAGGTGCTAAAACTTAGCTTTCAAATCTAGTTCATTTTGTGCATGAACTTCTCAATTTTCATCATTTGGATTCATTTTGAGACCTTCCAAGTATTAATCTCATTTAATTAAGAGATGAAAAGTTCAATTTAATATTTTCTGAGTTTAATGATTGAGGCTATGTTTGGTAAACCTAGCTGATAAGCTAGCTTATAGCTTTCAAGTGAATTTTAAGCTTATAGCTTATAACTTATGATTTATGGTTGAAATGTTAGCTTAGCGTATATAATAAAAGTAAAATTAGCTGACAAGCTAGCTAGTTGATACAAAATATTCAATAGACTTATTTGAAATGCTACTCAAGGAAGCTTATGAAGTAAGCTAAAGCTTTCTAAAAAAGCTCGTCCAACCAAACCAAGTTTATTTGAATACAGGAAGCTTATAAGCTAACCAAATAAGCTATAAACTAGCTCATATGCTTACCAACACAACCTTAAAGAGTACTAGATAAAACCAATTATATATCAACATATTGATAGAAACGTCTACTCCAAGTATTCGTCCATATGTATACTTTTTGCGATTCTAATTTGAGTCTACACGTGTTCTGCATGTTAGGTTCGGCTAATGCGTGAGGCAGGTTACGAACTCGGTAATTTAGACTCGACACTAATTCTGCAAAGACCAAAGTTGAGTCCTCACAAGGAGGCTATCAGGGAAAATTTATGCGAGCTTCTTGGAGCCGATCCTTCAGTCGTGAACCTCAAGGCAAAAACACACGAAAAAGTCGACAGTCTTGGAGAAAACAGGAGTATTGCTGCACATACGATTGTTCTCCTTGTGAGGAAGTAAATCATACACGACCTTTTTGCCATTCCAATTAAGCTCGATTTCTTTTTTGGCTAGAGATGATGAAACACACATTATACTACAGGTGAACTACAACATTGTTGTTACATCACATGGTTGAAATTTTAAGATGAACTTGTGTAGAGATAAATTTTCGAGTGTTGCCACATATTGATCTGCATTTATCTGTATGGGTAATTATCGTCGTGCTTTACATCAAACATAAAATGTAGCTCTATTCTTTAATTTGCCTACAAATCCTTGTTCTTTAATTTGCCTATAAATCCTTGTTCTTCTAATTGTAGTGCAGATAGAAGAACATACTCGTTAGAATTGGATATGTTCTTTCTCTCCTATAGTCCTCTCATCTATAATGAGGTAAAATTTCAATCTTGATCTACTAAGTTTGTCATTTTTTATT